TATCTTTTGAACTTTCTTCCCACCGCATTGTTATTTATTTTTCCTTAAAAGCTTCTATTTGACTTCTATTGTAAGATTATAGCTGGTCTAACATAGAAGTAGCTTTTACTATTTTAACTTACGTATTATTCCAGGAAAGTTAATTTGACTTTCAGGAATTCAGGTGTCTGAGCTGATAGGATAACGCAGCTCACAATAGTGCTCTCTCTCCTTTTTATTGGGGTGGGGGAGTGGGTGGGCGGGTCGTCTGCATGAAATTCACTGCCAGATAGTGCCATGTACAATGTGAGCCTTGTTTTATTTCTGTTTCTCATCAGTTCTTTGATGAGCAATTGTCACCTGGTTTCAAAGGATGAGACTGTCAGAGAACAATCCAAGTCTAAAGTCACAGAGCAAGCAAAGGTGAAGCTCAGTCTGTTTGACTACAAGCGATGGTCTTCCCAGCATGCTGGCAATGACAACAGTGTGAAGTCTCTGCTCTTAGGTTATAACCTCCTTCAGTACACAAGTTAATGTTTCATTTAGTTCCTCCCCCCGCCCCCAAAGATGTTCCATAAAACCAGGTGGAGTTATCTCCCTTTCATTTAAGTTACCTTTGATTGCAAAATGTGACTGACTTTTTCTCTGCTATACCTTTGGTTTTTGTTTTTTAAATTGCCTGACTATGCAAGAGAGAACAAGCACCCCCCCACACACACACCTCACACTCACATTTACACACACAAGATGTGGTCATGCCACAGTCATGATTTTCAAGCTGCCAGACCAGGATTGGGACTGCTGTCCGCCATGTGAGATCTAACTCTCAGTACAGAGAACTTAACCACTGAGCTATGAGGCCAGCCCTTACTCTACTGTGTATAGAAGGACTTGCCCAAATTGACTTTTATACCTCTAATTATTGACCTTCTGTTGTATGCTAGGCCATATCCTCCTTTGTGTTTAAGTCGTAACTGTCTTTTCCTGACAGCCATCTTCAAATGAAGTTCAGCAATTTAAAAATTAATTCTAAGAAAGGTTGTTTAAAACTCTCTGAGATAACAGTTCATATTTAAAGATGCTCATTATTAATTCCAATATGGGATGATTTGCACTTGTTATTAACACATGAAGACAGCCAAAGAAAAATTAGAAGGTGACTCAACAGGAGACATTCAAGTGTGGCATGCAGAGAAGTAGAGAAAAAGAAAACTCATTTCTGATGAGCTGAGAGTATGTTCAACCAAGATGTAGCCATGTTAAAGTTTGTTTTTAATGTTCCAAATAGCTGGTACCCTGGTACAATCTTGAGCCCTCACCTTCTGTAAAACACACTACAATAACATATCGATTGAATATACAGGCCTGAAAATATATTATTAAAAAAATTATCTTAAATGTTTTAACATTTTGTCTGTAAAACAGTAGATACTGATAATAAGTGAGGAGTCATGGGCATGTGTCCTTAAAACTAAACTATCTACTGGGTCTTCTTTAAGAAAAAATGTATGTATTACCTTTGAAAAAATAATCATTCTCTCTCTCACACACACCTGTATTCTGTATATATACATGTACAAGAAGGCTCTTTTTCTATGCATGTGAGAAGACTTCATAAATTTTGTGGAAAAATACTATGAAAAATATTTTTAAAACCATACATAGTTCTTTTCATAATACACATTTTCCATGGACTTTTTGAAGACTGTGTGTGTGTGTGTGTGTGTGTGTGAGAGAGAGAGAGAGAGAGAGACAGACAGACAGACAGATAGACAGAGAGAGAAAGAGAGAGAGAGAATATACTCAATTATTTATTTATTTTTGACACAGATAATTTGTTAGTGATCCATGGTGATTTTACTTGTTTTTTTTGTTTGTTTTCTCTAATTCGACATTATTGATTTGTATCATAAGAGCTTAGTTAAGTTCTTGAAAACAAACCAGTTCCATGGAGTTTGTCCATTTTTTTCTTAATTTTAAAGATAATGGATTGCGGGGACCAGCAGTTAGCGTAATGGCTATGTACATAGTTGACCGCGGTTCGCGTCCCAGACCCGGTGGCTTAAACTCATGCTGGGCGGTTTGCATCCCAGACCTGGTGGCTTAAACTCATGCCAGGCGCATGTGCGTGGGTGCCCCAGATCCTGAGAGGAGAATGGAGGAGAAGGGATTGCGGTGTGGCCACCTCCCCACCCCGGGGAGTGATTTCTCGCTTTCTGTCTCTCTGTCTCTCTCTCTCTCTCTCTGTCTGGCAAAAACCTCTAAAAATAAAATTAAAGATAATGGATTGCTTCTGAGGATATTATGTTTAGACTGATCGTTTATATCATGTTACTGGTAATTGAAGGATGTAATCTGAAAGGAATTTAGTCTTCACACCCTCTGAGGGAGAAGAAAAATATGGGTGTGTACTTTTTCCTTAAGTATCAATGATGCTTTTTCTTGCTTCTGTTCTTATTTTTTAAAAGAATATTACATTCAGAGAACAGTTGCCAGTCATACAATTATCAGTAAGTCAGTTGCTTGAGAAATTTTTGAGATGAAAATAGAGAGGCAGGGAATAATTTAGTGATGAATCTATTAATAAAGAAGAAATAAAGGGATATAAATTTGCACTTTATCCTTTTGGCAGAGTGTCTGTATTCTAACTAGCATGTTAACTTTTTCATGAAGTTACTTTTTAAAAATTATCTTCTGTATTCATTCACTTTCTATCAAATGACAGAGTCATTCCTTACACTGAGTAGTAATATTCCACAATGTATATGTGCCATGTTTTTTCAATCCAGTCATCAATTCTTGGCCAGTTAGATTGTTTCCAGTATATACATACTTTGAAAAACCATATTGTGGACTATGGAGATGTAGAACAATTAAATGTGACTAAGTATAAAATGAACAAAGAAATCATCTTCTTCATAGACCAGGATAAGAAATACTAACCATTCTGTTTTGTGTAGAATAAAAATTTTGAAGCACATAGAAAAATTAAATTTGAGGATAACTTGCAAAACGAATAAAAATATTTCTTTAAATTGCAATAGCTTAAGAGGTTTGGAGTTATTTTTCAGAATATTGACAATGGGAAACTGCATTTCAACTGTTCTCCATTCTTTTCCCAAATGTACAGAAATAAAAAGTTAATTGTTATATGAGAGTGATATTTAAACCACAAGGAGGTTTTTTTTTTTTTTGCAATTTTTCTCTACAGTGGCTATCTTTGTATAAAACAAATTGTTTTAAGTCTAATTGCAGTCAGAATAGTTAGGCCGCTGGCTCTGCTAAGGTTGAATTTCATTTGAGCTCCTAATAGTATGATCTTTTTTCAGAATTTAATAACTGACTCAAATATTTAATAGTGGAAGCTTCTATTAAATTAAAAAGAAATCAGGATATATTTTTAGAAAAACTAACTTATTTTCTTTATCAGTTTTATCTACTCTTGGAGAAAAGGAAGAGAATGGAACTAATCTCTTTTTGTACTTAAGTAGACGTTAATGCTATAACCACAACAAATAATTCATTTCAGTAGGTATCATTATTTGAAAGATTTGGGAAGCACAAAATGGCAGTAATAACTACACTTCTAACTCTACTGAATAGCAAATTAGACTGACTGTGGGAACTTCTTCATTTATCTCCTAGAAAACCATTTTTTTAATACTGACATATTTTCTAGATCACTTTTTAGATTGCACACTGTCAACTTTTGCATTGCCTACCAGTTTCTGTTAAATGCAGTGGCTTGTTTTGAAAGTTAAATGGGGAAAGATGAGAGTTGAAAGATTTTGTTTCCTTGGTCATTCTATTATAAATAGATAACAAAGATCATTAAATAGAGTAATTTACAAGCATCCTTGGAAATAGAATGTTTTTACACAAGAGCTTGTTGTAAACCTTTTTAATTAAAGTGCATTATGCCATACACTCTCCCCAGCAGGGTGCTTTTAACCTCTCACCTCTTATTTTGTCCTGCAGGCACTCCACTGCTGGTGAGGAGAAGCAGTGACCCAGTGCCAGGGCTGCCTGCTGACACCCAGCCAACCGCGTCACACCCTGGTGGCCAGAGTCTGAAACCTGTTGTTTCTGTAGGTATCCTGCTGTTTGCATTTCTAATGAAAAATCGAAGTGCCTTAACCATAGACAGATTTTAGTCTTCACTAAGTCGATAATTAGATAGAGATCTTTGATGGAGTATATGGTATTAGTTATAATAGGTATAACAGCTAGTATGAGCTATTGCTATTATATAATGATAGTAATAGCCATCATGTATTAGCAGCAATTACGTGTGTAACACGGTTTTAAGTTGTCATCTAAACTTCCACATGAAGGTAAGTGGAAGTTTTCATCTCCATTTTACTGATAATAAAATTGAGGCCAAGGGAGGCTCAGTATTAATAATTTGGTTAAGGTCACATAGTATGTAGCAGAGATAGTTACTTAATTCAGTCAGTCTGGATCTGAAGTCTACATCATTTTTTTGGTTTTATTTTTAAGAAATAGCTCTTTTTAAAAGTTTTAAAAGGCAGAGAATAGGAAAGTGAGAAATCACCTCGCCTTCCCCGGGGAGATGGCCATGCCCACAATTCCTTCTCCTCCATTCTCCTCTTGGGATTTTGGGCATGCATGCACATGCACCTGGCATGACTTTTAAGTCACCAAGTCTGGACCTTGAACCACACAGTCAGCCATATAGAAATCCAGATCCTTAACCACCATGCTACCTACTGGTCCCTAAAATCTACTCTTTTAACTGACACCTATGTGCTTCAGCTTCGTAATGCTCAAGGATATACTTTATGTATTTTTGGTATATTGACACAATGTTTTGCAAAGTCATACCATGGTGAATAGTAATAGAGTTTCAGTCTCCTAATATCATAGATACATATTGCCAGTTTGGATTTTAGGATCTCAGCATTCAAATGGAAGAAAAATTAATATATATACCCAAAGTGCTTATAACCAGATATGTACTTATAACTGTTATAACTAATGGATTAAGTAGAGAATAATTTTGTAAAGACAATATTCTTCTACCATATAGGAGTGTGACATCTTTTTGCTAAATCTTTAGCTGCTTTGAAAAGCTATATATATGGATCATCCGTCTGTTTATTAATAGTCCATATATTATTGTAGTATGTGATCTACAGTAATAACCATATTAAAAAGTTTCCTAAAAGCAAGACTCTTCAAGTCTCACTATAACAAGTTAAAAACAATCATTATATGTGTGTGTGCTTGTATGTATATGTGTGGTTGTACACACAAACATAAAAACAGATTCTTCCACTTTGGTGTATAATATTCCTAAGAACCATTATCAATGTATATGAGGTAATGGAGTCTTTATACCAAATTAATGGACATCTACTAATAAATTTGTGGCAATATTTTGACATATTTATTAAACAAGGAAGGAATTGTCTTGAAATTATTTTAGATATAATTTTTTCAATATTTTTCTCACCTATTTATAACTATTCTTTGAAGGAAATATATTTAATGAAACAATAAAAATCAGGTGTGTGCATTCTACTTTAAGTTTGATTTTGCTTTCTATAAATGCACATTAATTCAGACCATATTAGGCCTAATTATATTGGATTGAGGGACAAGAACTACTAAATGAGAGAACTACATATAAGGGAAGTACTACAATTTATTGGTAATTTTTTTAAAGAATTATTTTATTTTAACTTTACTTTTTTATTTTAATTTGATCAGAGAGGGACAGAGAGAGAGAGAGGGAAAGTGAGAAAGCAAGCCACCAGGTCTGGGACTTGAACCACGGGGGTCATGTGGGAGTCTATTGCCCTTAACTTCCACACTGCCTGCCGGCTCTTTTGGTTATTTCCATAATATCTACATATATCTACATACCCTAAGAGTGTATCTCTCGGTTTGGCAGGCAGCATGGTTGTAGGGGCCCCTGACTCCCACATGACTTACCATAGTTCAAGACCTAGACCTGGTGGCTTGCTTTCTCACTTTCCCTTTTTCTCTTTCTCTGTTCCTCTCTCACTTTCTTTCTCTGTTAAAATTAAAAAATAATAGTGATAAATAAAATTAAAATAATTCTTGAAAAAGAGTGCATCTGATTAATATATTACCATAATTGCATGCACAAAAGCCACCAGCATTTGTTTTCATATTTCCATCATTTAGGCTCTGTGCTTAGACCAGTTGAAATGATATCATTATTGTTTTCTCTGGAGAAAATTCAATTACTATCTTTCTGATAAACTCAGTTGCTTAACCAAAGTATGACATCAGTGAGTACCAAGTTGGGGCATGGGGCAGGGAGATAGATTATAACTAGGAAAGACGTATATTATAATTCAGGAAGATGCGGGCACCCAAAATCCTTCTACTTCACCCTTTCCCAAATTATCAAACATGGACTGAGTTCTTGTGTGTCAATAGTAAAAATGAAAACACTTATTTTCTCCTTTCCTCAGAATGTTCTTGGTAGACGATGAAGTACAAACCTCAGGCTCAAAGCATGTAGAAAATGCTCATTCTATGTCTTTGATTTAGGAGTTCAAGATATATGTATGTCTAGGGAAAATACCAGAAGTTCACAGCAATTAACTAATTTTCTAATTAATTAATAATTGATATAACTCACCCATTCTCTCTTTTATCAAAAGGGTCTACCAGGTAAATGTTTATCTGCTCTGAGATCTGGCTCACTCCAGGCAAGGATGATGTTTTTGTTGATACCTTCAGATTACTTGTTTTTGAAAAGTTGGAAGAGTTGCACTTATTATGATCTATTGGTTAAGATATATACGCTCAGACATACTGGAATTTTAGTTTAGTTTAATGTCTTCATTGTGTAAATGATAGGAAAAGTTAGTAAGTAAAGACATGCGAGCGTGTCTATTCTTACCTAGAAGAAAGATACATTTGTGTGTGTGTTGTAACTTTATTCATATATCCCTGCCTATGCAAACTTGTGGACTATTTAGTCTTTTCAATATGATGGCCACTAGCCACACATGGCAATTAAGCACCTGAATGTGTCTGATTCAAACTGAGATATGTTTTAAGTAGGATGTTCACATTGGATTTAAAAAAAACACGAAAGTATAAAGAAAATAATATAAAAGGTCTCACTGCTGATTTTTATCTTACATATTGAAATAATATGGTTGGTATATTGAGTTGATTATATTATTAAAATTCATTTCACCTTTTTTTTTCTTTTTTAAAAGAAAAAAAGGCTACTACTAGAAAATTTAAATTACAACAGTTTTTTCTGTTTCTGTTGGCCACTGCAGCTCTCAACAGAAATAAGAATTGGGTATAGCGTTAATGAAATGGTGTGAAACCCTTGGGGACAGATCTTTGAGTCCACATCATCTCTTGGGTGGCAGCATGATTAGGTTTTCCTAGGGCAGTCCTAGTTCATGGCTGTGGTTCTGGCATAATTATTAATAGTGTACTCACTAACTCTCAGAGGTGTCCCTGCATGGATGATAAATTATATGGCACCCTACATGTAGCTTTATAGTCACTTACATTGTTTTCTCAGAAGTAGTCTTTCAAAGAAACCATGAGAACATAAAACCACAACTTTTATATCAGAGCACTCTACAGCAGAGTTCTGCGTGGCAAGGACCTGGGCCAAGAGACTTGGAGCCTTCAGATTCTTTGCTATCTCTGAGTCCATAATTCCATCTCATTATTTCTCAGTAACTTTGGTTGTAATATATTTGATTCCTATGATTCGATAAGTGATTACAAATGTGGGCAATGTATGATAATGTAGCCATGTAGCAACGAACATGAAGAATAATTGCTTAAAAGACCATGTTCAGTTGCATTTCAAGTCCAAGATCCAAGTTGAGGGGAAACAATCAAAATCTCCATTTCTTAAACAGTGTTCACATGTAAGTAATTCACACATGGCAGGGCCCCAAGTGGGTTGTATTCAAATGTTCTCAAAAAATGAAACTTACTTATAACCCACAGCATAAGAAGCTGTAAGGGTAAATACTTTACACATTTGATTATGTTGAAATAATGCCTTTAAAACCACAGTGGATAAACAAACAAACAAACAAACAAACAAAAATACACAGCTGATGACTTGTTATTTTTAGTTGCACTTCATTTGACTTATCATAGAGGGAAGTTTTTTTTTTTTTCTTTTTCTTTTTTTGGAGAGTTTTTTGCTATAGGGCGCGTGCACTCGCCAGACAGACAGAGAGAAAAATCACCCCCTAGGGGGGATGGCCACGCCGCAATCCCTTCTCTTCCATTCTCCTCTTGGGATCTTGGGGACGCACACACATGCGCCTGGCATGAGTTTTTAAGCCACCGAGTCCAAGACGCGAACTGCAGTCAACTACGTGGGAGTCCAGCGACATAGCCATTACACTAACTGCTGGTCCCAGAGGGAAGTTTTTTCACTGATGCTCAGAGATACATGTTTTCAAAACACTGGAAAAAGTTGCACTTATTTTCTCATGAAGTTTCTGCACATATATCAATATTCTATATTTAAGATGTACACTTTCAGACATGTTGAAATTTCAAAAGGGACTTATGTTAGAAAAATCAAATTTTCTGCAAGCTTCAAATTCTGTGTATAATGAGAAATCACCACATCTTCGTATTTGGTATTTGGAGTACCACCAGATACACAGCGCTGAAATTTGTTTTCCTTCCTCTTTTTATAAATCTACCTGGTCATCAGAATAGTACAATTATTAATAAACAATTAAAAATGGCTATTTATTTTCCATGACAATTACAAATTCAGATCTCCTGACTGCTTTTGAATTAAAGATAGAGAATCCTGGGGACAGGACATTGATTTTAGTGAGAGTGAGTCTGCATGTGGGATGTTTGACCTTCTTTCCTTGATTATAAACTGGTGTTTTTGGCTTAAGGGCATACCATAAACCAGGTTCTTGAAACTGATGTTCCCAAACTTGTGGCTAGAACAGAACTCTAAAACAGATGTGACTTTTTTCCTTAATATCCGGTTAACTACTATGGCTGTTTTGTATTTTAATGACTGTTTATAGTTTCAAATTTAACCCCTAAAGCAAATTAATCCTGCAGGGCA